ATTATGATACTAGTTGAACAATGATCAAATAGTACAGAAACATAGAGCATCTTCTCCTCTATCAACGCATGAGAAAAGAAAAGTTGTTCAGGCATTCTACTAAGGAAATAAGATACGGACGTCATTATTTTTGGTATGCCCTAAGTATCTCATATTTAATTATTTGTTGATGAAGAAGAAGAAGCAAAACTCACTTTTTCAATACAATTTCTGATGCTCCTTTGGTATGCATTCTTATCGTTCCATCATCTCGTCGTATAACTGTTGACATATTTTTTCTCAATGAATTGAAAGTGTAAACATGAACAAAATGATCTGATGGATAATGTTGTCGAATTTCGTCATAATTTCCACCACAATTGGCAACAAAGCCCAATAGACCGCATTCAGTTTTATTACCAGTTTGTTTTGCTAACGTATCTTTTCCCACTGGAGGCTACAGAAAAAGTTAAATGATTTTATTAGAAAAAGACATGGAAACAATAGCGAACATGCAGTATAAAACGATTTAGTCGACTAAGAGGTATATCGTATGTTTTGTTTTGTTGAAAATACAGAGTTATTACAAAAGAATAAATCATACATACCGTTAATTTGGATGAATAGCTACTGTTGACTGAAATACCTTCCATCATAATTTCACGTGTTTTATCTGCTATAGGAATTTGTTTTGCTTCTTCCGGTTGTTGAACATTGTGATGCTGTTTTTCACCCACGTATACTTGTACAACGGTCATACGATTTGTTGTTAACGTTCCAGTTTTATCTGAACATATTGCCGTAGCATTACCCATTGTTTCACATGCATCCAAATGCCTCACCAAATTATTATCACGCATCATTTTCTTAAAAAGAATCATAATTTTTTCTATTTTTCGTTAACAACTTAACTGTTTCACATTCACTATGATAGTATTTTATTAAATCATATTTTACAATACATACTTTGACAGCATAGGCTAATGATATTGTGACAGCTAAGGGTAATCCTTCGGGCACGGCCACAACTAACACTGTGACACCCGTAATAAAATATCTCACAAAACGATTCCAATATCTATTATTCCATTTTTCTCCTTTCTGAATAAATTCTTCGATTGAAAAACGAATAAATAATACAAGTACAGTTAATATGGCAATTGTCATGCCTAAAGTAAACATAGAATAACAATTTTAGAAAACTTTTATAATGATACATAAACGCCACATTTTATACATTGTATAAAATAGATCAAAGATTTAAAAATAGAGTTTACATACCAGCATAACCAATTTGTATAGTTAATTTAGTTAATTTAGCTTGTAAAATAGGTCTTTCTTTAGATTTTACAGGTTCATTAGCTTGCTCTGTTTTTGCGTCAGTTGATACTTCTTGTAATTCATTTGCTTCATGGTTATCATGTGAACCTAAAGTTAGAGATGAATAAACACGTAATTCTGAGTACTAAAAAGCCGTTCTAACAATTCACTATTTTACACCATATTAATAAGAATAATTAAATTAGTAGAATATTAATTATGATAAAAAAGAATAGAATAACAACAATACAAAATACTACCAATGACATCAATAAAGCACATCATCACCATACGCATAACACCTGAATTGTTTTTTTTGTTTTTTTGAATAGAACCAGTTCCAAAAAATGATGATTAGAAAAAAGGAAGAGAGGGAGAGAGAAAACAATTAGCAACACCAACAGTTGTAAAAAATAAGATGAACAAGATAAAGCAGAAAGAGAAACACCTATGTATGTGCAGGGTTTCCGGGTGTTCTTAGGAATGGGAGGGGCTAAAAAGAAAGTGGCTGGCGAAAAAATGTTTTCGAAATTTTTGGCAGAAAGTTGTTGGTGAAAAAACGTCAAAAATTTTGCCAGAAAGTCTAAAAGAGTTTTCATGGGGGGGGGGGGGGGGGGGGGGGGGGGGGGGGGACCCCGGGGCCCGCCGCGGGGGGACCCCGGGGGGGTGGTTTTGTAAAGTGTTTTTTTTTTTTTTTTTTTTTTTTTTTTTTTTTGGGNCGCCCCCCCGCCCCCCCCCCCCCCCCCCCCCCCCCCCCCCCCCCCCCCCCCCCCCCGCCCCGCCCCCCCCCCCCCCCCCGCGCGGGCAGTATCCCCCTGTCCCTCGCCGATCGGAAACCCTGTGTGTGTGTATGTACAATTCTTTTTAGTTTGTTTGTTAATATATTTAGATATGCACTTTTGAAATTAAAAATATGCGTTAGGTAACAGAGAATTTGATAAATCCTTAACGAGAGATGTCAGAATTGCCAGGATAACTGTCACGTGTTACATGCGCGTTGAATCAAGTCTAGCTATTCAGGTCACTTATATATTCAAAAAAAAAATAATGAAAATGGGAATAAAAATAAAAAGCAGAATATATTAACAGTAAAGAGTAATTTGAAAAGAAATTGAGAAACATGCACATACACATATAACAATTAGTCAAGCAATTAGACGATTCAACATTTAGCCAACATAAGAGAGAGCATTATTTTTAGTATTGTTGTTATTATCTACATTAGCAAAACAAAAACACATAACTATAAGCATTCGAAGCATTAGTTCATTTAGTTGTTGATTATTACTGTTTTTTTGCTTACCTTTTTTAACTAAACGTTCATTAACTGTTGCATCAGCATCGTCAGCTGAACAGAAATAAAAAATAAATAAATAAACAAAATAATTGTGCATAGTTTTTATAAACAGTGAGTTCAGAAAGACTAGTAGTAGTATTGGGCAAAAGTCTTTACATTATTTTCTCAATTCGAAGATAAAAAAAGACAGAAAAAAGATCAATAACTAAAGTATTTCGTGAGAGAAATATGATAAAGTCTTGTTTCTTGCTAAACGAAAATATTAAAAAATATTTAGGAAAGACATAGTTTAATATTTTTTTGAAACACTTCTATTCTATGTATTAGTGAAAAAATATCTGTGCAGCAGATTATGATATTTGAAATTGAGTGAGAATATGTACAATGTTCTAAATTTCAAACGTTTTATCATAGATTCTTTTACAGGTAAAGGACAAACGTTACCGTTTTGAGAAATCACAATGTATTTTGAAAGAAAATATCATTTTATAAAAATATTTGATGTAGAAAAAAGGATGATTTGAAAAACTTTCTCATATCTATTTCTCTCCAAAAAAATGTCATATATAAACTATGTTTTTTAACAACTCTTACCTTTATCATCTCCTTTCTTTTTTTTCTTCGATTTTTTCTTTTCTTCTTTTTCGTCACTCTCTTGTGTTACTCCCAATAATTTGAAAATCAATCCTGTTTGACTATGTTCACCAACAGCTAATACTAACATTTTACCACTACCTTCCATGACATTTGTACCTAAATACAGAGACACAAAAAAAGATTGTAAATGAATAGATAGAGTGTAACGAGTCCAACTATTTTTTTTTCACTGTTTTCTCGATGAGTTATTTTTTAAAGATCAATTGTATTAGCTAACATATTTCATCTATCTATAAATCATTTTCAAAAGTATAATGAATACAGTAATCACAATGACTACTTCAACGTGTTATAGATTTCGTGAGAACACTTCTATTAAACGTAATATCAAGATCTCATAATTCAAATCAAAATGAATTTCTTCTATTGATTTAGCTAAAAATCAACATATTATATTTACCAGATAATAAAAATAGATCACCAGATTCATGTTTTTTCTTTAAATCTGATTCTCCTGTTAAAGATGATTCGTCTACTTTCAAATCATTTGATTGAATAACAATACCATCAGCAGGCAGTGTATCACCTAAAAAATAAGAAAATAAATAGTGATTAATTTTCAATCACAATCTCCTTCAAGTGATACATATTTCAAAACTAAATATACCGTATTTGACTTGACATATATCACCGACGACAATTTCCTTAATTGGAAGTTGTTGAATGACACTATTTCTTAGTACATTAAATTTTTGATCTGATTCAATTTTCGATTGTAATCCTCTAAATTGTCGTTCTTTCGTCCAATCATTAAACGCTGTTACTAACACGACAACAATAACAGCGATAATAATTGCTACACCTTCAATCCATTCAAGATTTGGTTCTTCTAAAAATATGAATAAAAAAAATACATGATTAGAGCTTTTTTTCATTTTACAAAAATCCTTCTCTCGATTCAACTGACATGAAGAGCGAGGAAAGTTTTCTTATTATTCATCATTTTCAGAACAAACGTTAAAAATACTTAGCCAGAATTGAAATAAATGCGTTGCTAGTACGAAATAATTAACTTACTTGGTTTTGATTCTGCTTCAAAGGACTCTGTGTTTGAATGATAAAATAATGAAAGCCCAAATGAAACAACAGCACATACAATTAAAATAATTAATGTTAAATCTTGAAGGGCTTCAAATATTAAACGCAAAAATGTTTTCGGTGGTTTTGGAGGAATTTCGTTACGACCGAATGCTTGTCGACGAGTCGTTAAATCATTTTCATCGCCACTCAAACCTAGAAAACAGTGATACATAAAGAGAAATAATAAAACCGTTCATATTATTAAAGAACCCTATTGGATTTCAAAAGTAGCTTGAAGCCATGATATTATATATCATGATTTTGTACAGCTCTTAATGGCGACTCTAACTGTGTATTGGGTTTGGGTTGATTCCTTGTGGTTACTGAAGTCAGGGTACTTCAATGACTTTCATGCTGAATGAACCTGGCGTAAGAGCAAAGATTCGAGTTCCGTAATCAAGTACAACGAAATATTTTTTTATCCATATTCTTGTAGAGCGATGAGCGTTCTACAAATTTATTATTTCATGAACATTAGCAGCTGGTGCTTGTAGGAGAAACAGGTCAGCTTTGAAGAAAAATTAATCATATCCATATTACACGTATATAATAAAATGCTCGTAAAAACTAAACCAGGACCAAATTCTATTTTCGTCAGAAACTGCGTGATTGTGAACTCTATCTGCCATGTTGATCTGGGAGGGCTGAATCCATCTGCGTCTAGGACAAAATAATTTTTTATTGGAAAAAGTTCCCCATAATTAATCCCTTGAACTTGATTTTTTTGAACTCGCTTTTGTTCGTTAACAAGTTTTAATACCATATTCGTAATCTACGAACAAAACTGTGTCGACCACGGTATTATATATGCGGTCAGAGCACAAAAGAATAGCATAGCATTAAGGGTGCTTAATGAGGGATCTGGAGAAGGCTATTTCTGGGAAGATCCATATTCATTACTCGAGTCCAAGGTAGTTTGGCAAAGGATTGAATTCTGAACAAAATGTGCTATTTAGATTTGACTGGTATTGAAAAGAAAAGATTTTCTGAAACAATAAATTCGTAGAGCACTCATCACTCTACAAGAATATGGACATAGGCGGCGCGGCGCAAGTTAAAGTTCCTAGGGGTAGCAATAAATTTTTTAAACTCATAATTTTAATAGATAACAACAACTCCCAGTTCCCACTTCTTCTAACAACTCCCAGAATATGTGTTATTAGGGCTTGCAATAACTTTCTATTGCTACCCCTCGCTACTATGGTGCGCCGCCTATGAATATGGATAAACAAATATTTCGTTGTACTTGGTTACGAAATCCGAGTCTTTGCTCTTACGCCAGGTTCATTCAGCATGAAATTCGTTGGAGTACCCTGACCTCAGTAATCACAAGGAATCAACCCAAACCCAATACACAATTAGAGCCATCGTTAAGAGGTGTACAAAATCTGATATATAAATCATGGCTTCAAGCGACTTTTGAAGTCCGACAGGGTCCTTTATAAGGTAGAAATTAAACAACAGATTCATCAGTGTGCAACTCTCTATCCATTATTCTTGAACTCATTGCTCAGAAGTCATTTCATTAGCATAGGGTGATTGAGGACAATCGATAGCGCAAGAAAAATCATGTTTTCAAACTACCAAGACCGTGTTTCTCAAAATTTTGCCAATGTGGGGTTCCACAACTTTCACGTTTTTCTGTTTTTTTCAGTCAAAAAGCGTGTGCTGATGATGGAAATGCAATAAAATGTAGGTTATCAGAAATACTCTATCAACTGCCGGGTGCGACATTTCGAAGTATTTTTTGAATTTCTCGCTGCAGAAATGACGTCTAGAGGCGATATTTTTATAGAATCTATTCCCTAAAATATTACACATGTAGTAAAAAAAATCAACCTCTAGTTTGGCCGGGAGAAGGTGTATGTGGGTGAAACAAATTGAGTGTCACACTATACAGGTCAGCATTAACACAGCTTTTGCGTGAAAATGAAAGCACCTAGAGGCCTGTGATTTTCACTAGCCTCTATTCGCCCTGATTATACATCTTTTCATGTAAAAAAATTAGAACTATCCATTTTATTTATCTCAGTATGTGTAAAGAGTAGGTAGGAAAACAGTTTTTGTGTTTTTAAGGCTCTCGTTTTGCAACAAATCTTTTGTAAAAACCGAAAGAGATTTAGCAAAACCAAGTTCTTAGATCGACAGAACGCATACAACTCTACGTAGAACAGAAATAGAATGTGTAATTTTCTCGTTCTGTGAGATGAAAATAATTAATTAAGAAAAAGAACGTACGAGAACCACTGTAAAACCGAGCAAAAATGAACGGAAAAAAATGTTTTGCTCACTGTACATGAACGTTTCAATATAGACCCAAGATCTTAGCAGCATGTATAGAGTCGACTGTCCTCTACAAAGTGCACTAGTTTCAAAGAGTTTCGCTCATCCTTAACGGAGAATCAAGTTGGACCATTGGTTAGAGTGGAACGTAGAAAGATTACCGGAATCTGTCATTTAACTGTCATCAACTTCGCTAAGCGTAAATTTGTTAAGATTGATAGTCAAAAGATACGAATATTAAAACTTTTTAAGAACATACTGTAGAAAAGTTATGTGCACTCGCATTTCTGATGAGTTTTTGTCAAAAAAGTAATTGTATATACGTACCAGACACGCTATTTGATTTTAATTTTTCCACAATTCCACGTACTCCTCCATGTGACTCTTGTAGAATGGTCATTGCCTCCTTTCCTCTAGTTCGCAATAGTAATTGCATTTCTTTTATAGTAATTCCATACTCTTTTTGTGCGTCGGCTGATAACTCCGACGACTCGCCTGTCGACTTTGACTTTTTTTTAGATTTTGTTTTTGCCATTACTCTTTTGAACTAACGAGATGTAACAATTAATAGTTGATAAAAACAAATTAATAAAAATTATACTAGCAAATATACGTAACAGCAGAGTTCATAGTCAATATGATAGATAACGATTAGTAATAAGAATAAATATCGATGAAGTTTTAATTGGAATTAAATGTTCAAGATAATGATGAAAAATTATATATAATTTTTCATGGTTATTTCTAATATAGAATCTACATTTATGAAGCACTACCTAAAATAAATCAACAATATCATGAGATTCAATGGTAGTCAAAAAAAGTATACAGTATGAAAACTCATTTTTTATCGCAGTAGTCCATACTGGTGAGTATGCAATGAGTCATCGATGTCATAGAAGGTAATCAATCGCTGCGATGTATGCATTCAAATAAAGCAGCAGTAGAAATATTCGTCTATTACTTCTTCACTTAACTTAAACAATAAGGTAAGAGTGTTTATCATTTTATGTAATTAATGAGAGGACGAATGACGCACAAACAACAAAGTAGAAATATTTTTGTTTCCTCCCTTTTTCCTTCCTCGCTTGCACAGTAATGACCATTCTTGGTGAATGAATTCGTGCGCGCCTACATTGATTCTTTTCTACTCGTACCATTTCACCTAACAGAAAGAGAAGAATGTGACTATTAGTGTGTTTTTTCTTGAAATCTGTCAGTTTTTAATAAAAACATTTCTGCAGGTAGTATAAATTAAATGTGTTTAGTGCGTGGGAGTGTGTAGATAGTAACACGAATTTGAACAATACATCTTTAGGGCATAAATCTATTTTCTATTACATGATTCGTTAAAAAAACTAAAAATATTTGTTAGGTTAACTTTCTAACTAATTAAAAACAAACGCGAAAGATAGCGCTAGTGATAACGCTCACTCATATCAACCAAAATCAAAAATTTTCAATTCTTGCGTGACTATAACTGATTATAAATACAAACTATCTATAGTCGATTATTTTATACGTAACAAAAAATTATTTGCTTGGTGTACCATAAAAAGATTTTTCCGCTACGTTTTACTTTTGGTATCCCGCTAGACATTTTTGAAATAATTGATAAAACACTGCAGAGAAATATTTTCGAACCAATATATTATTTTTTACGTATAAAATAATCAACTGTAGATAGTTTGCATTTATAATCAGTTGTGTATACGACAAAAGTGAATATTCTAATATTTTTTTCTCCAAAATTATTTGAAGGTTTATTTATTATAGATTTTATTAAAACTGCTTGCTAGTTAAAGTAAAAAGTCTCTCACGGATTTTAAACACGCACGTACACACATCAATGTTTTTTTTGAACAACACACATTGAGATGCGATCGATGCACACACAATGTGCAAAAAATATATTTTTCTCTCCTTTTCTTCTAGGAATCGCTTTCTAGACATCTAGTATATGTTTTCTCAAGAAACTTGCGATTCTTCTTCTATCCTTACGTATCGATGCAAAACATACAGACACACACATACAATATACATAATCGTCCATAGTGTCAAGTGTTTCATGCCAATATTATTATTTCTATTTATGAAGGAGTTCTCTCGATTCGTTCAAGGTTCTTTCGATTCTTTCTTTCCTCAAACGACACTAGATGTTTCTGAGCAGAAAAAAATAAAAATAATAATACTCTGTGCTGGAACAATGAATTTCTAATGATTACGCCGAACATGAGGTGAAAGAACAAAATGAATGAATGAGTGAATGAATGAATGAGTGAATGAATGAAAATATATTTAGAGAAGAAAAAAAACAGCGTGTAGAGAAGAAAAAATGGGATACAAGACGGATGTAGATTAGACTGAAGTAATAAGTTAAGCAAGCTTAACGCAGCTTAATCAAACCTGTCGTTTTATTGAAAATAACACCTATCAAAAATTAGCTCGAAAAATAGAGAACAAAAGCAAGAGAAAATGTGCATAAATTTTTTCACAAAATTCATCGAGTTCAAGGTTGTTTGCAATGTGTAGAGACGATTTTTTTAACTACTCGTTCTGTTATATCTAAAGTTTTTCTAATAACAAAAAAGAAAAATGAACTGTTCATATATTCTGAACAATTGATAGTGTTTTGTAAATAGAAGAAAAAAGGAACATATAGACGATATGTACGTCGACTTTGTAACTAGAAAAAAGAGTGAATAGCATTTCCAGGTCCATGAAAACGATGTCGTTAACGAATCATAAACGTCACGTTAAAGAACCGTGTTTAGGTTATCAAGGCCATTTTTACGTCGTTGAACTCTGGCCGTTTTACGATCAAAAAACGGTCCATTTTATTTTTCATTAGCTATCTCGAAAATATTATTTGTGGCACATTTGGTCTTTAGTACCATTTCTGGTACCAGTCCTAGGATCACACTACTAACTTTACTATTAACCCCAAGACAAATGATCACTTTCTCTAATCAGGTTCCATTGACTTGTATATACGAGAAAAAGAAAAATTTAAAGTTATTCGAAGAAAGTCACCGTTGCATATATATTAGTAGCGATTGATAGCAAAATAAAAGAGGTGAATGACTCATTGACAAAACGGTTTAAAAGCGGTCCGTATACAGCATAGACTATACCTGGTTACATCAGTGAACAACCCATTGTTAGACCATTAATTGACGTTTTCAAAATGGCCGGTATACGGTGACGTTAATGGACTGTTTTTACACCGTGAACGCGTCCTTTTATAAGTGATCGTTAATAGAGCATCCCGGTTAAGCTAGGTTGTAAATTCAGTTGAAATAATCTTCTTAACCAGCAAGCATTATACATTCTCAACCTTAAATTATGTGAAATTTTCATTCTTGCAGTTTTCAAGTATCAAAAATGAGATACAACAAATATACGTTTTAGTTACTTAATACCAGGACTACGACGGCTCATGTTTGCTCTTCGACTCGATTTGATTAGCTTATCTAATAATGAATAGGTCGGAAATTTAGGCTATTATTGTCTTAATGTATATCAACATTGAGTGTATGTCAAACAATGGATTAAAAATGTCGTGAACCGGATTTTAAATATACTTGATTTTACATTAATAGAAATATGTTATAGTAACAAAATTTATTAAAAATCGAATAAAATAACCTATTTCTCTCTCTTTTTTTCTCACTCACAAGTATTTATTCGCACGACATCGATTAACATTTAGATATCATACAGCAATATATGTATCTGTGCATATATTTACGTTTCATTAATTAACATTACGAAAAAAATAAAAAACAGAACAAAAATGTCAAAAATATTCTACTTGAATGCTATAAAAAAAAAATAAATAAATAAAAAACCTATTTCTTTTTACTCTTCTGTTAAATCAAAATCAACTACGATAAACAGATTATGTTACTTGTCAATATATTCTTTACTTTTCTCTCATATTATTTGTCATCCTTGTATTATCAGAAGTTAAAATAACGTTGACTAAACAAAACATATTATTTTTGTTTCTTGAATATAATTCTATTAAAACTCATACCTTTACTTTTCATTGGAGTCCTACTATATTAAAATCAATGTTAGTGCAGTTGTTTCACAAACTAGTTTGTCCTAGAATATTATTTTATTACTACCTCAATTTTTCATTTCAAATTCTGTAAAAGACATCTGTTTCGATCGACTCTCAATAACATTCTTTTATACTGACGTTTTTGTGTCACATCTCTTTTTTTTAGCAAGAATTTATAGTTATCTTTTGACATTGATCTTTTATAATAGAATTTGACACCTTTTTCTTGTAATCACAGGCTATTATAGTTGATTTTAAAGTCAATCTTAGGATAATCCGAAAAAAACAGAAAAATGTAACGTAAACACCAAACGTTATTTGTCAAAGAAAAGTATATTATATAGTTTGCCGAAGGAAAGAAGAAACGTTTTTCTTGAAAAACATCGATATATTTAATAAAATCATAAAAACAACAAAATATATATTAAAAATATAGTTTTTCTACTTTTTAAACACAATTAGTGAAAACCACTTCATAAAATTGTGTTTAAAAATATCTTCTTAAATAACGTCATACTCACCGCAGGTTTTTCACTGCGGTCACACCTGTTCTATTAACACATACCACAAAAAAAAAAAAACTTATCACTAACTGTGAATATCGTATTGATTTCAATGTTTCAAGCTAAAAGTACTACCTTCTTACTCATATTTTTAAATTGATATACATAATTAAATAAAAGACTCTTTTTGAACGTTACTCATTACTATACATAATTCTGGTTCAAATTAATAAAATTCAAAATGATTTTTGTTTTTATTCAATTTATATTTATCTCGTATTATTCTTATGTTAATTATATAGTGTTGAATATGTTTTCATATCATCTGTTAAGAAAAAACAAAAAAAAAAAATCAGAACATGTATACATGCAAACGACGAACGAAGAAAAAACACCTCACACACCATCACAGTGTCATTACCGTATTAGATATATTATTATCAACAATAAACATGTATAAAATGTAAACTCATCTACTATTCAATATACATACGTTAGTATACACACCAAACGACTAGTCAACTGTTTCTTTCTTCACATACGGTTAGATTAACAAGAAAAGAAAAGAAACACACACACACACACACACATAAAATAACAGAGAAAGAAAAGCAACGTTCTGAAAACTAAAGAACAGAAGCAATTACTGCTATTTCAGAGAGAAAGATCAAACGAAAGAAAACAGCAAATATTTTTTAAAATGATATGTATATAGTCTATATGTATATGCATGCATCATTATCATTTTATTTTCTCTTTCTCTCGTTTTTTCTCTTTTTCTGCCAAAGAAAGAAAGAAAGAAAGAACAAAACAAAAAAAGAACAAAAA